TAACTCGGTGCTCGCTGCCCACTTTGTCGTTTTTGAACCTTTACCAAGGCGTGGGTTCGAACACCTTGTGGGCCGCTCTTTATGGGTACCCCTTTTCCTAAGTGCGGCTGATCCACCTTTAGACGAACGTCCACCGGGGGTCGCTTAGTAATGTGATTTAGGTTATCTGCTACTATTCGGTATCTACCCCCAGCAGCTCATTCTGCTGTTTCACTACTGCATAGTAGCATATCCCTAATATTGGGATTTCCTAACTCGGCCTAGCAACCCTGACACCGGGTGCGTATTCTACTCTCCATCTCTTAATCCTGTGTACCCTATTCATGAGTGTATACACGGGTAAACCTGCAGTTCCAAGGATATCCCGGACTTTTCGACCGTCGATATCCCCCCGGGCCTTCGCGTCTCTTATGACCGGTTCCTCATGGTTCATAATGAGGACGCTTCTATTTCGGCCCGTCGTCAGTTCTTTTGCGCGTTTCAATTCAGATGCCTCGTTCTCGAGGCTAGTGATCCTCTGCTCTGGGCGTTTGATCGATTGCTTCTGGTCAAGATGAGTGTTGTGGTTTCGGTTGTCGGTGCTGCTAGGTTCGGGCGCCTTATTAGTGAGTATTCGATTAATGTTTTCTGCCATGACTACGCACAGATAACATCCACTAGAGCGATGAATTACTCGAGTATATTTCATACACTCTTTTGTCTAGATAGACACAGCCCGGGTGATACCAGTAGCCACAACAGTCGCCGCTGGAGATTGACTTTTTACATTTCTGCCCACCGCAGAATTCTACTTTCGACATGTTACGAAAAAGTTAAAGGTCTACGATCGAGAACTTAAATTCCCGCAAAACGTGCGTTAATCTTAGAATAACCACAAGATCAGACACGTGCGGACTTACCGAAACGTTTGTTCGAAAATCTCTCACAATCCGTTACGGCCTGTAAAAATTAGTTAGATATGCACTCCGGTTTCGTTCTGGCGAGATCATTTCGATTTCTGAGATTTTTTTGCACCACGACAGGATTGTGAACCAGACACCTCAAGGTCAGGTACTAACAATTACTTTGTTTCCAGCTAGATAAGTCCTCAGTTTCCCTTTTCTAACTATCGTCACATCTAAGTTTTACACGTCTTCGAGTTTTTTAGATTCATTAGTATACATGACCATCACTCTCAGGAACAGCAGTCCGGATTCCGCGCCGCACAGAGTTGCACTGGTAACCTATTCACTCTACGTCAGATCCTCGAAATCCACTAAACGTTCAATAAGTCAACTATCTTCGTCTTTTTAGACATTCGTCCGCAGGAACTTGTATACCTGAGAACTGTATAAACCTCAAAACCATCCATTCGAAAACATCAGGCCGCGTCAAGATATTTAACCATATCTTCTCCCAATTACCACCGCGAATGGAGCGGGCTGACCGGCTTTATATTTCCTATATACTTTTGCAATTTATGAAATCATAACGAGTGGCCTAAAATAGCCATAATCTTAGCATGAATCTGCTCTAGCGATCGATTTTGTAATTTGGAGAATGCAAAGGATATTTCTGTGATGTGATTCTCCTCAAGGCGCTCAAGATATCGATATCAATATCTGTCTCAGTTTTAAACGACTTACCCGCCCTGTCTTACTCTATTACTGTGTTATTTGGTCCAGTCATAATCATAGTTTGGAGGGATAAGAGAGCTCTCGTATGAGAGGTGCTGCACCTCTTCTCATTGGAGAGATAGAGACGGCGAAGCGACCTCATCGAGGCGTTTAAGATCCTCAAAGGGATCATGGACATAGGAGGTGGTTCCCAGGCGCTGTTAAAGCTAAGTGAAACCACCTCACTCCCGGGAGCATGCACTGAAACTGGCAAAGGATATGGTAAATTGTCAACTGAGGGCGTCATCCTTTCCGGTTCGAGTCATGAATGACTGAAATAAACTGCCAAGTAAAGCCATAGCATCCACCTCAGTGGCTGGATTCAAACGCTGTTTGGACAACTTATGGGGTAGTTTGTTCATCGGAGAGTGAACGTGTCAAGCTCCTGGAGCCCATCTCCCTCCCCGCCTCTCTTCATCCCAATGGCCCTCTTATCCCCCCACCTCCACGTCCTCTCTTAACCTCTCCACTAAACCGCAGACTGTCCTTCTAAACTTAGTATCTTTCATCCTTACGGACTTCAAGGTTCTTGGTGTAACCCTTGCATCGAAGGGGCCAGTGTGCAACACAGCACTGCAAAAACCCACAGAGTGGGGTGCTGTGACTAGGGGTCCTCTCCCAGTCGCCCCTTTACTTGTATACAACTGAAGATGAATCTTTTCGTCCTATTGTCGCAGCACCGGGAGGTCCTTGGAGCTCACCAGTGCAAAAAACTGGATGACCTGGTAAGCTGCCGTCAACGTCCTGGGCACCGAATTGAACTTCCACTTCACACATACCAAAACCCTGATTTGACTGTCTCCCGTATTATTTCCGTGAGTTATATAATGTGCTGTAATTGGCCAGTAGATAAAGCATTGAAGCCAAGTTTGTTCGCCATATCTCTGTTTTTCTAATAGATCTCTTGTTTTTCAGTTCAGTTCTCACAGGACGATTTGTAGCTCTTGCCAATTGAGCTTCCAGATTCTTGTGTTGTCGGCGAGTTTCCTTGGCTTCCAACACTTCGATATGCAATTTTTCTGAAAGGCAGAATAGTGTGGTGCAGTATCACATCCGTTAACGTTAAGTTATAGGTAGTTACCTTGGGAAAACCACTGTCCAGCACTCATCTAGTGCCTTTTTAAATACACCTACAGTATTGCAGCTTACCACTGCCAGCGAAAACTGGTTCCACAATGGAATCACCCATTTAGTGAAAAAGGTCGCCCTCAGTTGCAGCCTAGAATGGTTTCGCTGCAGACATAGGTTATGTTCCCGCGTGCCTCTATGCGAAACCCAAGAGGACGGGTCGTCAAACCTAAGGCCTGATCTAAGGCGATCTTAAACGTCTCAATTAGGTCACCTTTCATCCGCCTCCGCTAGGGGGAAAAGAGATTCAGATCATTGAGCCGCTGTTCATTTCTCTTCCCTCGTTGCCCAGCTATCATCCTTGTGGTTAGACGTTGAACTTTCTCCAATGTGTCGGTGTGCTTTCGATAAAACGGAGCCCAAGCCTGCATATAATATTCCAGATACGGGCGGACGATACAATTGTATGGTGAGATAAACACCGGATTTTCTGCACGTCATGGCCGCGCATAGATGGAACAGTTGTCCCCTGGCTTTGTTTGCGGTCTTAAGACTGGTTGCTCGGTTTGAAGTCCCGCGGTACCACTATGCCTAGATCCTTTGCCTATTGACCATTCTTGCCTTCATTGTATCACCAGAACTCGGTGGTAGCAACAAATCACCTATGACGAGTTTTGTCGAAGACTCCTCAGGCAATCTTAGCCGATCCCCTTACTTTCCAGCGACTATATCCTGCGACAGTGAGGCGGTCCTTTGGATGTGATATNACCATCTAGTTTCATAAACCTTGATGGCTTATACACGTGCAGTACATGGCGGTCCAACATCTACCCCGTCGTGATATTTTTACAAGCCGGCACAAGGGGGAAGTGGTGACAGGATGGATAACGAATGGCATGAGCTTGATGACTGAAGAAACCTACATCAAATCTGGCTATTTTAGGACGTTCTCGACTCCCATGTGTGGGCCTGGAGGATGACGAATACCCATGGCTTNTGAGAAAATAATAGACGTGGCTCAAAATCGGTGGCAGAGCGCATTTGTAAGAATTATTCGCTGATAAACCTTTCTCAGGTCTACCTTTTTATAAGTTGTGCCACCTTCCAATTTCGATCTGTTTAGTTATATTGTAGCTTTTTTAATTTTAGATCAACCGTTTATTTCATTTCGTCATATATGACCCCGAGGTTCTAGTCCAATGGAGCGATTAACCTTGTTCAATTTGCGCCAACGATCGCGAACTGTGGAACCGCGAACTCAAACAATTTTGGAACAGCTTGAAACTGAACAGAAAGTTCGTAAAGCCTACTATGAGAAATTAAGTCAATGGAAAGATGAAGCGCTTCAACTGTTCAAAGCTCATCACATCAACTACTTGACTCGAAAATTAGTTAACCTTCCAACTAGTTTTGAAAATCTGGATGCCAGCCAACCGTGGCTTGCGTATTGGATTGTTCACTCCCTCAGACTTCTTAATTTCACGATTTCCGATGAAACAAAGGAACAACTAATTCGGTTTTTGGCATCAACCCAGGTTAGTTTCAGCATTTTGATGTCACCTACTTATCACTCCATCGGTTTACAGTTCTACGCATTTGTCTTGTTAATTTCTTGTTTTCTTCTGTGAAGACGATTCATAGATCACAACTTTTGGTGATTGAAATGTAACTTAGCAGTTCTGTAGCTTTTGCATATTCACTGTATTTTATTCCTTACGTTTTTCTTACTGTTTCTGTTTCAATACCACAACCGTCTGGGGGCTTACGCTGTTCATCATATCGTTTCAAAGGGACTGTCGATTTACGTGGTTGATCAGTTGATCCCAATCATAGTGGGATTTTTATCTTTTTACCATTAATTTCATTGGGTTGGGTTATTAGAATGGCACTGTTATTGTCGTTTATTTATTATTCATTTGGGTTTTGCAAAACGAGAGCATGAAAACAGAAGGAAATTGCTCCGAATGCATTAGCATTCTGTGCCACGGAAATTATGGTAATACACTTTGATGAAACATTTTATTTACAGTAAATCCACTGGTTCAGTTGTATACATTATATTTTCGACAACTTTTTCTGTTCGGAGAATGTAAAAAAATTGTATATGCTTTTTATTGTTTTTTTATTACACACCAATGTGTGATTAATAACAGACGAGGCGAACCCCATGGTCACGAAGACCTGCTGTTTATTGGAGGAAACCGGGACTTGGAGTGGCGAACCACATAAGGCCCCGATAGGTCAGGCGTGGTATTGAACCGAACGACAGCAAAGCTGCCTACCACCAAAGTAAAGTGGTGGTGGCGCGGCTTGAACCTCGGACGACAGGGTCCAAAGCCCGCCGGTGACAGCGACTAACCACTGCGCCACCACCAGTGTATGCGTTGATGAATATTTTCGTGTAAATTACAGGACAGCATTTAGAATTCAAGTTTTCAGACACAATAGTTGTAAACGATACTAAATCATCCGACCGCACTTATTGTGCTTTCAGATGTAGGGTACTGATACTTTTTTCTTTATTTGAAAATGCACGGTGGCCTTCTTTTTTTCTATTGTTGTATATGATATGATGTCCTTTTCGGTTTGTAGCATGTGGATGGTGGTTTTGGAGGCGGCCCGTATCAGTTCTCACACCTCGCTCCAACTTACGGTGCTGTCAACTGTCTAGTTTCTTTGTGCCGTGCAGACGCCTTGCAGGTCATAGATCGAGACAAACTGGCCAATTGGCTTCGTCGATTACGTCGTCCAGACGGATCACTGATCATGCACATTGGTGGTGAGTCTGATGTGCGCGGAGCATACTGTGCAGCTGCGGTTGCCAAGCTAACCGGTATTCTTGATAAGCATCCCGATCTGTTCGCCGGGACGGCTGAATGGGTTGCGCGTTGTCAGGTCTGTTATTTCTCATTGCATCCTCCTTTTTATGCTACCGTGACGTGTGTGTATGTATGCGTGCATATTTTTTATCACTAGCAGTATTTTCCAGACTCCAAAATAGTAGAATGCTAACAGGTTCTAGTCAGCATCTTCCTTTTTAATCAACGTAGGTAAGTGGTTAAAATACAAGAGGTCAGACTATATGCCTAAGGAACCACGGTACAATAATCTTTATAAAGCAAGAAAAATAGTCCAATGATTTGCTTGTGGGCGCCGTACTTCTAGGTTACCCGAGCGAAGGCAGGTGAATGTTTTTGGAGAATTCCCAATTGCAACCATCGGCTAGTCAAAGCCTGGCCCGCAAGGCAGCGGGGCGATGTGTGAAAACCGCGTTCCATTGGGGCTGATGTTCAGCTCATCGGATCATACCCCCTTTGGACGGCTTCAGACTTCTAAGTTAAGGGATCCAGTTAGGGTTTCCTAGAGAAAAACCCCTTCGTCGGTGTGGGCTGCCGCGAAGTATATCATGCCCCAAAATCTTAGATACCCATTTGGAAAACCCTGTTTCACATCTGTCCACTTCGTCTTCCCACTCCCTGGACGGAGTCAAGCGTCCAAGGCGCCCAATACACATACATGCCCAATTGAGCCAGTGAACACTGCCACGACCAAGAAGATGTAGGTAGATGTGGTTCGTACGTCTCTTCTTGGTTAGTTTGGAATCATAGTTTTTGGTCAGCTTCCCTAGGCAAGATGCTACTGGTTCAGCAACCGGGTTATGGCCTCGGATGCTTGCTTTTCGCTCATGCACTGCCCCACGAAAGTAGAGAATAGGGCTTCCTCAATAGAAGCTATTTGAGACACTTAGTCGTACAAGAGCACTTCGCGAGGTGCAAGGGAAGAGTTGATGTGACTGGCCTTTTAAAACTTAAGTCATTGACCCCCTCACTTCCGAGGCGAGGGATTACTTCCTGCTGTCTTGCAGTTCGCACTTGGTTATGCAAGGGCTAGAGGTGCGTCCTCAAAATAAAAAAACGCTGAGTGACGCTGGGGACGTCTCACATACCAAACTCCCAAGGAACTGCATGATCTTCATCATGATCATGTCTGGAGCCAGCCGCAGTAAAGTAAGGGGAAGGGTGAACAGCCACAGCCCAAGACCCCCACTCTCGACCGTTCTCTAGGCTTCCGGGTACAGTAGCTTGAAAGCAATGAAACAGCTATGATTAAATTGGTATTTCTGTTAGGACCTTATAGAATCCGACTACTTTCGGGTCTTGGATGCCCACCGCTGTATAATCACACACACACATCATCATCATCATCATCGTACAGCGAGATACAGCGAAGCGAACTTCGCTGATCGTTTCCCTCTCTCTCTCCATTCCTATTCAACTTTGTCATAGATTTAATTCTCGAAACAGCCCTATCCTCGTGTGAGGATAGCGGTATCGATCTATTACCGGGTGGCAGACTTTCCAATTTAGAGTATGCAGATGACATTGTGCTACTAAGTGAAAATCCGGGTAAGTCGCAAGCTTTTCTGAATAGTGCTAATGTAGGTATGTTCGGTATGGGTTTTACAACTTCAAGGTGTAAAACGTTGCTGCAAGATTGGGTCGGTCCAGCCCTAACCTCACCCTGACCGGGGAAGTAGTAGAGGAAGTAGACAAATTTTGCTATCTCGGCAGCTATATCTCACCTGGTAAACGCATCATAAATGAAGTCTCAGCTCGCATACAGAAGGCTTGGTTGGCATTTGCCAACTTGAGACACTTGTGGCACTGTTGCGGCATCCGATAATTAGTGAAGAGTCGAGTATATGCTGTAGCAGTCCGGCCAGTGCTGCTTTACGGTGCAGAGACTTGGCCATTACGAGAACAGGATAAAAACGGATTGTCGGTGTTCGAACACCGCTGTTTACTCAGCGTTGCACGAGTTTGGTTGGGTAACTGGACTAGCAATGCTGATGTTAGGAGTAGAGTTNAAGTAATCGACCTTCATGGATTACGCTGTTTGGGACATGTGTTACGCATTTTTTAAATACACATCTAAGTGTGATGAACAGCAGACAGGGCGAACCCCATAGTCACGAGGACCTGCTGTTCAGTGGTGGAAACCGGTAACATAAGCCCCGATAGGTTAGATTCGTTATGGAGCCGGACGACAGCAGAGCTGCCTACCACCAAAGTTGGGTGGCGGTGGCGGGGCTCGGACCAAAGGGTCCAAAGCACGCCGGTGACAGCGACTAAACTACTGCGCCACCACCACCCAGGTAAGTTGCCACGGCGAGTGATGGTTGCTGAGGCAGGTAGCGGTTGGAAAACGATCAAGGACAGTCAAACGAAGACCTGACAAGGTATACAAACCCTAACCAGGAGACTGGTTCACATAGGTCTCGTTAGGCTCCCTGGATGGGGACCCAGAGATCATGGTCACTGATGGTTAGAGACACAGCAATGTGGCTGGGTGTCGCAAACAGTGGCGCTCATGTACCCACTCATTATTCTTGTAATATCAGTCTAAAGGAATCCTCTATCTTCCGCTGACATTCGCTCTCAGCATTCTAATCTTGATTCTTCTGTTTCATCCAAATGCGCAACAGAAGACAGCATCCAAACGCAGCGCACGAAAGTGCGTGGTTAACGGTTGTAAAAACTGAGATTGAAACACAAAGCAAGTGATGAAGTACAAGCTGGAGAGGAATCAAGCCTAATTGGAGGGAAGTAATGGAGGTGAACCTCTACGGTCAACACATAGGGTACACAATCTCAGCGTGCATACATACTTTTTCAAGCATTCTGACCTGATAAGAAATGAAAACAAGAACACCACTGCTGTCAGTTAGTTGCCATATCCTTCAGTGTCTCCAACCAGCCAGTTGCAGAGTCTTTCGAACCCTAGCCTGGAAGCCGGGAGACATCGATTCTACCTAATCGCTCTGTGTATTTCCTCATGCCTCGTTTCTACGTCATCTGTGGTTTCTTTCAACCTGGAGCCGCAGCTGCGAATAAGGCGCGATTCGGTAGACGGTGATTGGGCATGCGCATCCCAAAAAGTAAAACCCACACCCAAGACCATCAAGAGTGCCTAATGCCTCTGAACAATTAAATGATCTAATCCAAGTTTGGTACTCTAAACTCCGTCTTTTGTCTAAAGTTTGTTCTGTGGGACTGTTAAGGCAATTGAATCGATACTTTTGTCTTCCGAACCCACTACTAAATACGTTAATGAGTAGACTAAATGAAAATGTAGCAACTTAACTAAAAAATTTTATACCCCACCTAGGACCTCAATGAACTTGTAATTATTAGCCACGAAACATTTTCCTGAACCACCAAGCTTGAAAATAGTTGAGGCTTGTAGGTAGCGAATTCCTTGCAAAAGAACTTAACATTCAGTATCGTGGTAAGTCTTTCCCGCTCTCTGTTTGGCTTTCACCTTTTTCTATCTTCAGTGAAGGGCTTCACAAATGTCCTACAGGGTGACTGCTTCATCGTAGTCAAGCTTCTCGTCCCTCTCACCCGTGACCTTA